ACACAACATACATTATTATAATTCACAAAATACATTATTCTAACACATAAAGTACATTATTCTAACTCATAAAATACATTATCTTACACAAGAAATTTCATTATTCTAACACATAAAGTACATTATACATTATCTACTATCTACTATACTGATAAGAGCCAAAGAGAGTTAGGCCTATAATGGGTAAAAAAAAATGACGGTCAATTTTTTTAATCAAATGAATGGCTCAGATTGACCAGATTTTAATTTTTCCTTTAGATTTCCTAATTTATCCTTAATTATATGATTATCCGTTAACTTTCACGTTAAATATTATCTTTTCCGTTAATTTATGTTAGTTCACCGTTAACTTACTCATTGATTTCAATAAGAAAATGTCTTAAGTTCGAACCCCATCCCAATAAAAGTTGGTATAATTAGTACTCTATTTTACTCTTATTAAATTAAATAATAATTTAAACTTGAACGGCGGTCTATGATCTGATGGTATGATGGTCATTCTAGAATAGTACCCGTGCGATGCACGAGATAAATATTGTTAAACTTATTGTCCAATTGGGTGAGATAATTAAGATTTTGTTGCAATTGTGTTGTTTGTGCCCATTGGCCTTTAGCTTTTAACCGGCGAATTGAGACAATGAACATGAATGTAAAGAGCAAAGGAAAATAGAGAGACAAACTAGATTGGACAAGGGATTCTTATTCAACATCATCACCCATGTACAAAAGCTACAACATATATATAATATACAAATGTAATAATGGGTACAATAATGATAAGCATAATGATGGACCATTACATCCGTTATACTAATAATGTCCACTTAATGTATATATTTATAACATTCCCCCTTGGACATTATTTGTCAACAATCTTGCCTCGTTAAAAACTTGCTAGGAAAACCCTGTGGGAAAACCTAAACAAGAAAAGAGTACAAGGTATATGCATATGGTATATTTGAATACATTCATGCCTCGTTAAAAAACTTCACTAGGAAAACCACGTGGGAAAAACCTAGTTGAAGAAAAGAGTACATGAATTTGAAAAATCGTATATTATACTGATTGCCTCGTTAAAACCTTAACTTAAGAAAACCTCGTGGGAAAAACTTAGTTAAGGGAAAAAGAGTACAACCATAAGCCTTCAAGGCATATTATCTTCAGGATTTTGGGGGTTGTATGTTTAAGTATTTGCCTTCAAGGCATAATCTTCAGGATTTTGAGGTTTGTCTATTAAGTATTTGCCTTCAAGGCATAATCTTCAGGATTTTGAAGGTTGTCTATTAAGTATTTATATACAACTCCCCCCATTAACATATCATACTCATACCGCGTTAAAAACCGCACTAGAAAAACCCATTGGGAAAAACCTAGTGAGGAAAAGAGTACATGGTATGTATATGCTGCAAAAATATAATTATTAGTCCTTTTAAGACCCAATCTACAGGATTGACTCGAGTGAATATATACGCTGCAAAAAGTGCAACTATTAGTCTTTTTAAGACCCAATCTACAGGATTGCCTCGAGTGAATGTACCTCCCGTCTCCCCCGGAAGATAACAATCTTCAAATTCTACATTACTTAAAGTAAAATCATTGTTTCAAAAAGGGTGTAGAGAAGGGGTATGGTACAATCTTCAGGATTGCCATTAGAATTTATCATATTTTATCATGATCATTTGGACCAATGAAATTATTTATATTTTGTCATTCCCCCCAAATAATTTTCTTCACCCTTGCATATCAATCTCATAGATATTTTGTAGGTATACATTTGCTAACTTGTCATTGGAGCAAATCTTATGGACAAATATTTTATCACTCGTCTGGAGTTCATGTGGATCAAAGTATTTTATACCATGAAAAACTATATACGTTTTTATTTGTCCCAAGTATGATGACTTCATGTCAAAAAGCATCAATATGAATATTTGTACCTTGAGTTGCTATTCCTTATTTCATCTCGTAACTTAAAAGTCGCTATGACAAAGCGAGAAAGTAATAACAAGATGATAATATACAAAATACATCTATAAGAACAAGTATTATCCCTTAGGCTTTAAGATGCTTAAAGCTTAAATTGATTTATAATATATCAATCCAAGTCATGGCGTTTAACATAATGCCAATATTCAAATGACTTATTGAAAGATGTATTTTATACCTTAAGGATATTAATTAACATCATTTCCTTTTCTTTCTAGGAGAATCACCAAATCACTCATTACAAATTACAAAAAGAAAATGCGAATTTGGGAATTTTCGGTCTCAAAGAAAAGGGTATTCAAAATGACGTTTGAAGTATCGGACTTCTGGTCTTGAATCATCCTTTTAGGTTAAAATGGTTCTTATCTACTGCGGGAGATTATTTGGACATAGACTAAATAGTATGTGAAATTCCTTTTAAGGAAATGTTCGATCTACAGGTCGATATAATACTTGATTTTCCATCTTCTTTATTTTATAAATAAGCCCCTTAATAAGTACCTAATGGTACATATTCATTTCTATAATTTCCTTATTTTAAGAGGAAATTACTCAATCAATTACTTCACTATTTTAAGTAAAGTAAAACATTTGTACTTCAACAACAAACATGTTGTGATATTTACTTTCTTTCATTTTTGAGAATTATAAATCCATCTAGGATTTTCAGATAAACATTAGTGTCTAATGACCCATAGTTTCTAGGTCATGACTTTAATAAGCTGCATATCTAGAATTATTCTACCAATCATGTAGCGGAACTTTTAATAATATTCATCATGGGAGAGTATACTTGATTATGGGTTTCTGCGTTAACCCTTAGGCTACAGACTCGCTTTATATCTCACCACCTTATCATTCTTGTTTTTCCTTTATACAAACACCATTTGTAACCTGCAGGGTTAATACTCCAATGGTGTATAAAAGGAATATATTAGCGAGTTGAGCTATATATGCCTTTAATTGCCTTTATATATCTAGCGAGTTGAGCTAGATATCTAGGTGCTTCTGGCACCTAGTTCTGGATCCAGATTGTCATATAATATGAACAATTTTGAAGGCAATTGTGTTGTCGACAACTTATAACATTTTTCAAGAATTTCTCCCATATATATAAAAATAATTTTCAAAGTTAACTAGATTATAGCCATTTCCCGGATATTTATATCTGGTTGTTCCGCAACCCAGTATTATGAATATTTGGTGCACCTATAATTTTACTGGGTTTTTCTCGTCATCTGGATGATCGTCATAAATATATAACTTTTTAAGATTTTTCAAGAGCTCTAAGATTTTCAAGAGTGACAAAAAACTTTACTAGATCTAGTTGTTTGTCGATTCTTTATTTTTCTATCCCAATGAATCTCCCGTACTTCTGGCATCAAGGAGTATTGATAGATATATATGGTCCAATTTTGGGGAATATGTATGGGACCTAGTCACTCTTTTTATGAAATAGATTATTTGACAGATATGTTTGATTTTTTTCTGAACTTCCAATTCAGTCTAATTGGTACGTGGATTTAATTTTTGAAGATTATTTCATGAAATTTCTCGGCATTCCATTTCAATTTTGATCATATCTCCCCCTAATGCCGTGAACCGATCTTCATGCAGTCAGCATATCCATCGTGTCTCTCTTAGGGGCTTTAAATATTGGAGACAATAGATGGATGTTTAGATGGATACGCTATGGTGGTTATGTAATAGTTTGGACTGCATTCATAAGAATTGAAATGCAGATTTGGGAAATGTTTGTTTGAAAACCACGTATTAGATGTAAGGGGGAATAAGGATATGCAGTGTGCCGAAATTTTTAGCATAAATATTGCATTTCCCCACCAAGTATCCGGCACATTGAAATTTTGAAAAATAATGGTTTAGTAATAAGCCATAACTTTATTAATTAGCTAAACCATTTGGGTATGAGCATAAGGTACTTGATACTCCGCCTTAATGCTTAATGTCATATAATAATCGTCGAAAAATGGATGAATTTCAAAGCATCGTGCTGATAACGTGTTACAATTGTGTTGTTTGTGCCCGTTGGCCTTTAGCTTTTAACCGGTGAATTGAGACAATGAACATGAATGTAAAGAGCAAAGGAAAATAGAGAGACAAACTAGATTGGACAAGGGATTCTTATTCAACATCATCACCCATGTACAAAAGCTACAACATATATATAATATACAAATGTAATAATGGGTACAATAATGATAAGCATAATGATGGACCGTTACATCCGTTATACTAATAATGTCCACTTAATATATACTAGTATTGTCCCGTGTGATGCACGGCTAAATATTAAAGATTTGTTTGTAATGTTATAATGAATAAAAAATGATCTAAATTAATTTGAAATTGTTTATGATAAAGGTAGTTGAAGTACAAAAAAGTAAACATGAATAACAATTTATTTATTTTTTTAAAAAATAAGTTGTTATTGTATATTATGTACATAACAAAATATTCTCGTGCGATGCACAATTAAATATTAAAGATTTGTTTGTAATGTCAACAAATAAAAGAATAAAAATAAAAGAAATGAACTACATTAATAAAAAAAAAATTGTTTGAAAAAAATATTTAATGATAAATTTTGAATTATTAGAGTAAAATACATAAAATTTATAGATAGAAATATATAAATTATATATCTATGTTCAAAAATTTATATATTTTAAAAAATTTATAGATAGAAATATATAAATTATATATCTATGTTCAAAAATTTATATATTTTAAAAAATTTATAGATAGAAATATATAAATTATATATCTGTGTTCAAAAATTTATATATTTTAATAAATTTATAGATAGAAATATATAAATTATATATCTAGTTCAACATAAATATATTTATACATATCAGGCTTAAGTTAAGAGCCCAAAAGAAATTAGCATTAAAAAATAAGAATCAAGCCTGCAATTAATAACCCATAACCCGAACCAATTCAAATATAAAAGGGAAAACCAAACCCTGATTCACTCAGCTCAACGATTCGTCTCCCTGAGCTGCGCTCCTCATTCTCTCTAAACCCTCATTTCTCCGTGCCGGATTCATGAAATGAAAGCATAGATCGCGTATATTCATGAAATGAAACCGTAGATCGTGTATCGTCTATCACTATTTCTACCTTGCGATTTCTGAAATCGTTTCTCATTCATGAAATGAAACCGTAGATCGTGTATCGTCTATCACTATTTCTACCTTGCGATTTCTGAAATCATTTCTCCTAACAATTCCGACCTGGAATTTGTGTTTACCGGCGTCCGGCAGCGGATCTGTTTTATCTAAGAACAAATCTTTAAATTACATTACTGGCGACCGGCATTGCTAGCCTCAAGATAAGTCGATTCTTCCTTAGATTTTAATTTTTATAAAAAATATTTTCATTTTTTGCAATTATGTAATTCGTACAAATCCCCAAATTGAGTTTAGGGTTCATTCAAATTCTGTCAAAGTGAGTTTACGGTTTGGTGGAAATTTAAAACTGTATTATTTAATTTTATATCTATATTAGTGATTTGTATACATGTATATGTATATACAGTTTTTTTTAGCATATACATTGTACTATCTTCAAAAACTATTTTATACGGAGTACAAATTTTATTTATATAAAGGTACATGAATAATGTTTGTTACTTCTTTTCCAAACTAAATGATCCATGCATGCCCCTCATTTAGAATGACTTCCATATATTTGATTACTGAAACTGTCCTTGCCTTTTGATTGTGTTACAGTTGTACCTGATGGCTATATGCAATGTTTTTCTTGTAGTACCTGAAATTTTAAGTAGGACAAAAGAAAAAAAAAATACAACTAAAGGAAGGTACGAAGAGAACTGGTGAAGAATGAGAGAATGCATAGAGGCCTCTAAAAGAGAAATATTGCTTTCTGTCAAAACAAAATAAGTTTAAGGTACAATAGAATATGAATATTCAGTAATATTGTGTTAATACTTGGGATTGTTGATTGTTGTTTCCGCTTCCCGCCTATAACTGTTGATGCTAGTAATTTCTTCATAATGTTGTTCTGATAGTAACAGTAGTTGCCACTTTTGTTTTTTTCAAATTGTTAGTTTTGCACATTGCCTGGGTATTATATATAGTTGAGCTGTAGCATTTAATTCTTAAATATGCAAGTTTCCCCTTCTTGATACCCTCAACTTTTCCTTTCTTCAATGTCTGTATTGAAGGTGTATATTGCATAGCTTTAAAGTGTTCATTGACATATTACTAGGAGTGTAGGTGCAGAATTGTGTAACATGCTTGTGTTATAGGCATAAAGTTAAAATCTGAGTTGTTATCACCATGCTCATAGTATACCTAAACTATACAGATAATAAAAAAAAAAAAAAGATACATTGTTTACTTACCTCAGTTATCTGGTAGATGTTTTCTCTTTTTGCCAATAACCGTAGAACTTGTTAATCTCATGATTTATCTATTCTGATCTTAAAGGAATACCTGTGTATCAACGTGCTTTTTCAAGTCCTTTGAATTCTGGGCTTTGGATTTCTGTAGAATTGGATTTAACAATGAGCCAAATTATGCAGCGCCTTGAACACCCACACGAACTCCACTGTTTGCTTGGATTGTGGGTTATGCATCTAGATGAAACTTTGAAGTTTTTCCCTACATTTGCTGTGGATTGAAGATTGTATTTATAGGATAGTTATTTTGGATACCAAAGAGTCTCACTGGAAATCAGGATACTTATTTTGCAATTATTGTGGATACTAAAGAGTCCATGTGGACATCAATACTTATTTTCAATTACATTGCAGATACCAAATAGTCATTCAATAAATGTAATCTAATGACTTTAATAAATGTATTTGGCTGGAGCTTATTCACAGTTTTGGAGGGAAACTTTTTGGCCTAGGATTCTGCTTTATTATATATAAAGAAGTTGAGCTGTAGCATTTAATTCTTAAATATGCAAGTTTCCCCTTCTTGATAGCCTCAACTCTTCCTTTCTTCAATGTCTGTATTGAAGGTGTATATTGCATAGCTTTAAAGTGTTCATTGACATATTACTGGGAATGTAGGTGCAGAATTGTGTAACATGCTTGTGTTATAGCCAACACCATAAATAATGAAATTAAGCTTATGTTATTAATAAAAAGAAAGTGTTACAAAATTATAAATTATTGAAAACTTCATGATATACAATATTAGTTGTTGATGTAGAAATTGTACTTGAGTCGTTGGCAATTAATATTTTAAGACCATCTAGATTGTTAATACCATGTACAAAAATTGATTTTTCTTAGTAACAATCCAACATGTGACAATATTTGACCTTGGGCTTGTTTGGCAATCAGCGGTAGCAGACTGTATTAGCGGTTAATGAATAGCGGATTGTGTTAGCAGGTTTGACCAGCGGATTGTATCAGCGGCTTGTAAAAAAATGTTTGGTAAAATTAGCGGTTTAGATTGGCGGTTAATATGTAAAATGACCAAATGGGTATAATAATAATAATAATAATAATAATAATAATAATAATAATAATAATAATAATAATAATAATAATAATAATAATAATAATAATAATAACAACGAAAAAAAAAAAGAAAGATGTGAAATTGTCCCACATCGAAACACAAATTAAAAAAGGGGCATTGGCTCCCTTATAAAAGGGAGCTCAACGCCCCTTTAATTTTATTGGAAGCTTCTTGCCCATCCCACATCGGATGGGCAAGAATAGAGAAGCCTCAGGCTTCTCTATTTAAAGAAGCCTCAGGCTTCATAAATAATAACAGTTTAATTTTTTTTTTTTTAATAAGTAAGGTGGAGGGTGTTTTGGGAAAGGAAAGTTCCTTTCCCAAAACGCCAACCCAACACGCTGCTATATGCAGCGTATTGAATTTCAGCGGTTTGGAGCAATCCGCTGCTCCAAACCGCTGTTAACCAAACAATGATTTTGACGTTTTGACCATGGTCAAAACGCCAAAGTCAGCGAATCTGTCAAAATTTGGCGGATCCGTTACTAACCAAACATGGCCCTTGACTTTTGTAAATAATCATTGCATATGACAACATCAACAAGAACTGTCTTCGTTGAAACAATAATGACATGGCAAACTTCGATCAGACGATGACATGTTATTGCATTTTTAATTTTTCCTTTAGATTTTCAAATTTATCCGTCGCGTTCAAATAATATTTTGTAGTACTCAACAAACACCTTAAAAATAACATAAAGTCTTAAAGACTGATTCATAAAGACACTTTTGTCTAGAATCTTTTTTCTTTGAGCGGGAAACTGAAAATTGTTTTTATTTATCAAAAATTGTGGCTTTATTATATATATCTATTATATCTACTATAAGAGCCCAAGAGAGTTAGGCCTATAATGGGTAGAAAAAATAACTATCAAATTTTTTAATTAAATGAATGGCTCAGATTGATCAGATTTTAATTTTTCCTTAAGATTTCCTAATTTGTCCTTAATGAATATGATTATCCGTTAAATTTTCCGTTAAATATTATCTTTTTTTCGTTAATTTCTGTTAGTTCACCGTTAACTTACTCATTGATTTTAATAAGAAAGGTCTTAGGTTCGAACCCCATCCTAATCAAAGTTGACATAATTAGTACTCTATTTTACTCTTATTAAATTATATTAAATAATAATTTAGTAGCTACAACAAAAAATAATACATATGCATTTCTTTAATTTAGAATTATGTGTCTACAATGTCTTTATTCAAAAAAAATATTCATTATCAATAAATTAAATAAGAGAAATAATTTCATTAGTTATATTGTCTTTATTTTTTTCTAATATAAAAATTCTTTACCTTCAAATTCATCAATTGATTATATTCGCTACATTGCCTCTACAATGTCTTTATTAAAAAAACAAAATTCATTATCAATAAATTAATTAAGAGAAATAATTTTATTAGTTATATTGTCTTTATTTTTCTCCAATGTAAAAATTCATTACATTCAAATTTATAATTGATTATATTCACTACATTGTCTATTATCTTTTTTGTGCACTATTTTTTAATTAAATATCAAAGTTATAATACAAAATAATGTTATATATTTATTTACAAAATATTTTATTAATACCATGAAAAAATTAAAAAAATATAATTAATAAAGTTAATCATATTAACTACTTGAGGGATTTGTTGACAAACAGAGTATTCAAATCACACAACAAATTGAAATGAGAACTACCTCGCGATGTCTTTGTTTGACAATCAGCAGTTAGCTCTTCAATATTAATATATATTTAATATTTTATGCCCTAATTTTTATTTGCTCTCCCTAATGTCCCGTATTTGGTTTCAACCATACCTATACAATTATTTTATTGATAATTATAATCAATTTTGACTATATTATACTGCATTTGTAAACTTAGAATTGCCTATTTAAATACGCAAATTTAACATTTAATTATTTATGCATGAACAATTCGAATATAATCTTGCCTTGATATATTTTAAAGTACTTATTTAAAAAAAAATAAAATTGGGCATTATCCCAATCGCGCAATGCGCGTAAAAAACTAGTAATAATAATAATTGTTTAAAAAAAAATAAAAGAATAAGAAATATATAATTAAGCCAATCATATTAACTACTTGGGAGATTTATTGACAAAAAGAGAATTCAAATCACACAACAAATTGAAGTGGAAAAATATCTCGCAATGTCCTTGTTTGACAATCAGCAGTTAGCTCTTCAATATTAGTATATATTTAATATTTTATGCCCTAATTTTTATTCGATTTCCCTTATGTCCTGTATTTGGTTTCAAGCATATCTATACAATTATTTTATTTACAATTATAATCAATCTTGACTATATTATCTTACATTTGTAAACTTAGAATTACATATTTAAATACGCAAATTCAACATTCAATTATCTATACATGAACAATTCGATATAATCTTGCCTTGATATACTTTAAAATACTCATTAAAAAAAACATTGTGCATTATCCCAATCGCGCAATGTGCGTAAAAAACTAGTATATATATATATATATATATATATATATATATATATATATATATATATATATATATATATATATATATATATATATATATAATAAGGCTCATATGCGGCAGTGGTTTTAGGTGCGGCGGTGCGGCCATATCAGCGTCGTCCATTCTGCTTAATCTAACGGCAGCGGCTAATTTTTGAAGATTTAAAGATTTAAGCGCGTCCTGGTAAGTGGGGGGTGTTATGGTAATTGTAGTGGTTATTTATATCGGTCGCTTGTCAGTATACACCAATAGTGTTAACAAAAGACACCAATAGTGTTAGAAAAAACACCACAATGAAATGCACAAATACACCAAAAAACACACAACACACCCAAAAAATACACCATATAACTCACCACCCCAATGGTGTATTCTGAACACTGTGTGATGCTTTTAGTCATACCTAGTGGTGCGTTCTGGTGATGCGTATCGAATTTGTGCATGTTTTTTTGGTGTGCATTTTCTAACATGGATGGTGTATATTTGTATAACTATTAGTGCGGTGGCACTGACCGCTCGGGAAGGCACCAACACGAATTCTCAAATACACCACAGTAAGGTTAATAATGCACCAATAATGAACATAAAACACACAACACTATGATTTGATATATTCTGGTGCCCAATGACGACTTTAACCTTGCAATTCACGTACTGTGAGAACGCGCGCGAAAATATCGGAAAAGTCTTGATGAATGTGATTCGTTGGATTTATCTAAACTAATGGCCTACAATTAACCGCACCGCCGCACCTAAGTGCACTGTCGCACTTGAACCCTCCTCACTCTCTCTCTATATATATATATATATATATATATATATATATATATATATATATATATATATATATATTACATTATTTTAACTCATAAAAATACATTATCTTATCCCAAAATGTTTGTTATTTTAATATGCACGTAGAACAAAAAAATTTTTAATATTAAAATGATATTATTTTGGACCGTAATTCATATAATAATTTATCTATACATAAATACATAATATATATCAATTACAAACACATAATTTTTTAACCAAAATCTATCAATTTCAAGCAATGGTATAACAATTGAAGTTCCTAACGGTAACAATGTATGATTACTTGGGCCGAGGGAATATAATCATTTATCTAACTGGCTTCCATTATTAGGCCCATTAATGCTTGGAAAGGCCACTGTAATAAAATCCATACTGTCATCCTGAATCTATTGGGTAAACAAATCATGACGGAGTAGGTAACAAACGAACAAAAAAGATTTAACAAAAAATAAATTTAAAAAAAAAATGTTGAGATTTCAAAATTAGAAGTCTGATCAACTGTCTTCTTTCTTTTACTTAACCCCTCGCCTGAGAGAACGAAGAACAGTCAGTGAAGAAGAAAGGGAAACCAACAAACAATCGATCTAGTCGACTACAGGTTCTCGCTGAACCTCGTATATTCTATCATTTCTTGCGTGAATTTTTGCTTAATTTTTTTGGGTCAATTATCAATCATGCAACAGAAATCAGGTGTTTATTGATTTGCGGAGGTTGTGGTTATTGGTGTTCTACTTCTAATGCTTGTCAATATTCTCGATCGTGGGAATTTAAGATTTGAAGTTGGAATCTGATCAGTAGTTGTAGTTATGGAAATTGGGTCGAGGGTCGAGGGTCGAGGGTCGAGCTAAATCTATTGAGAGGATGCTTTAAGTCAGAGCAATTCTACTTTTTTTTATTTTTCATTTTACTTTTCGTTTGAACCCAAATAGCCATCGTATTTCGTTTTAGTTGGGGATTCAGAGGTGTAATTAGGAGAGTTTATGTTGGAATTTGGAAAGGGTTTGTCTCAAATTCT